GCTGGCCCCACTAACACCTCTTCCAGCAGCAACCTTAGTTTTTCCCAGGAGGTCTCCCATCCAGGTACTGACCAGGCTCACACCTGCTTAGCTTCAGTAGGCTGCTAGCTGTGAGTTGCAGGGTGAAATGGCAGATCTACAGACAGGACACTTCCAGTTTGAGCCTGGGCCATGTCTGTAGGCAAATGCAACCCAACATGCCCATCTAGTGGTGCACAGCTTTCCTAGCTGCCTCTGGGATCTCGGGGTGAAGTCTGGGAGCTGGGATGAGAATCAGCAGGATTCTCATGGCATTCAGTGCAACTGCAACTCCCAAAGTCCTAGCCAGAACCCATGGCTTAGAATAACCTCAGTGAGAGGGGAGCCACTCCAAACTGGCAAGCTTGAAAGGCATAACTGGCGGAGGCAGTAGAAGACAGTTCTTAACATACAGAATTTACAAATATTCAAAACCCTTAAAAGGCACAGACGGCAAAGCAAGTCGATTTCTTCAAAACGAACAGCTTAGCAGGAACCAGGAGGCACAACGTGGAAACTGCAAGAAAGTGCGCTTAAATCGGAGAACGGGAGGGACCTCCTTTACCTTAAGGGTGGCGGGAGTGTGGAACAAGCTACCCAGCCACGCTGTGGAAGCTGAGACCCTGGGTTTCTTTCAGGAAACAGCAGGACGAGATCCTGGGATCAATTCACATCTCGCTGCCACACAGGGTCAATGGGCCAAATGGCCTCTTGCCTGTCACCAGTTTAATGTTTTTTTTATAGTTCCTTGCTGTTACCACTGGGTACAGACTGCAGCTCATCAAAAGACGCAATCGCATTAAGTGATGTAAAAAGCTATCAGGCCATAATCTATTTCAGAAAAGAATTTGCAAAGGCATTGCTGGAATTCCCTGAACCGACTAAATGTTTCCAGCTGCCCCACCTTGAACTGATGATCACTTAATGCTCGTCTTCCCTGGGAAGGACATTCCTCCCCGCTTCACCTTGTCACGCTAACAATTCCCGCACTGGATGAGGGGGGATAACAAGTGGCGATTCCAAGATCTGGGAGCTATAAAACGGGAAACCGCCGCCGTGTCGGAAAACGAAAACACGGGCCCCAGCGACCGCCTACTTGTTGCGCAGGCTGATGTTCTCGGGCTTGAAGACCTCTCGGTACGACGACTTGCTGTGGACGATGATGTCGAGCTTGTGAACGCACTCCACCACGGCCCTGGGGAAGACAAAGGCAAGACTGCGGTGAACTTCGGCCCCCGGCCGCCGTCAAGAAGGGCCCATACCGGCACGAGCCTGCAACAGCTGAAGGCTCCCCCCCACCATCAACAGAGACCAAAGTTAAACTCAGACCACTAACTTTTTTTTTTGCACAAGAAAATCAACTACTAATGAAATTTGAAATGCATTCATTATCTGATTTTAAATGCATTAATCATCTTCCTCCCTTATTACTTGCTACACAAAAAACATGAACACTAGTACTCTACTAGTAACACTCTATAGAGGCCACAGTCATGACTGATACCACAGAACCTGTACCACAACATCAAGAACAATTTATTGATTTTCCAGCCATTTTTAAACCGTTCCTCACATTTCCATGTCACACAGAGCTGGAGACTATCCCAGCGAGTATTGGGCACCGAGCAGGGTATAACCCTGGACAAGACACCAGTCCATTGCAGGACAGACACTCACACC